GAGAGAGAGAGAGAGAGAGAGCGAGAGAGAGAGAGAATACTAGAATACTAAAAGCAGCAAGGATTAAAAAAAGAACTTATATACAAAGGAAAGCCCGTAAAATGTACAACAGATCTATCAAATGAGACTGTAAGCCTGAAGAGAGTGGGGCAATACAGTATAAAAACTCAATGAAATGGATAGTTAAGGAAGAATTCTCTATCCAGCTAGATTATCACTCAGACTTGAAGAGACGATACAGAGTTTCATGCACAGGTAACAAACTTAGAGGATTCCTAGCCTTGAAGCCAGTCTTGCAAGAAGCATGAAAGGAGTTTCTTCAAATGAGACAAACTTCTCAGCTTCTGTCATTGAGTATGGCTCTCATAATGGCTCTCACTCAGAGTGCTTATAGTTTCCCTCTATTAGATTAAAAAAGGTTTTTTTACTCCCCTTCTGCAAAGGGATTTTATATATCTGCAACGATGGATTAACATTTATATAGAAATTTATATATCTGGCTGTTGGGGAACAGTTTTCCCCTGAGGTGCCCGGACATGTTGTGCATTGGGTCTGGGCAGACGTAGGTGGAAGGATGACGGGTGCTCGGAGAAACACCCTTCGAGAACAGCTGATGGCTGTTCACTTTATTGCCAAACACACACATATTTTATAGAGGGTCTCGGCTGACAGGAAGGACCGCACATCCCCTTTCCCACTCTGGTTTGCCCCAGTCTAATCCCAATCAAGGCTACGTGCTGCGTTAGGATGACTTGCTAAGCCTACGCGACAGTTTCTGTCTCTTGGGTGCAGGTGGCTAGGGGGTCGAGTGAGGTTCAAGGTCAGACATCCTGCTCCTGCCAACTTTGCCCAGATACTCCCTTCTGCAGGGCCTCGTTTCAGAACCGTTCTTCAAGGTCGGGTCTTATCTGCTCCCATGCCTGTGCAGCCATGCTCCACATCTGATCAGGTGTTTTTTTAAAAAACGTTTATAGAGATTTTCATCATAGTACTTTACTTATTAATGCAGACACCTAAGAAGTGTCTGGGTGGGACAGGCCCTGGGACAGTGATGGAGGGAACTGGGGTTGTCTGGGGATGGATGTGGTGTTGGAATGATGCATCCATGAGGAACGTGAGCAATAATTGTGAAAACCCTGGCACCTCAATAAAGATAGTTAAAAATAAATGAACAATATTCCAGTGTGCATTTCTGGGTTAATTAAATTTCACAATAAATAATAGTCTTAAGTCAAGTGTGTATATTATGTGATTATATTTGTCTATGTTTGCAAACATATGTACAGAAGTGTGAAATACAGTTGAATAAAATGTTTTCCAATGAAGAATTCAGTGACATAATTAATATCTAACAGAAAAAAATAGACTGAATATAGGTTGTTCAATGAAAGTAATAATAAAATTTCTTAGGCTAGAAACTATTGAGAGAAAGAGAGAGAGGGAGAGAGAGAAAAGAGAAAGAGAGGAGAGAGAGGGGGCTGGAGAGATAGCACAGCGGGTAGGGCGTTTGCCCTGCACGCGGTCAACCCGGGTTCGATTCCCAGCATCCCATATGGTCCCCTGAGCACCGCCAGGAGTAACTCCTAAGTGCAGAGCCAGGACTAACCCCTGTGAATTGCCAGGTGTGACCCAAAAAGCAAACAAACAAAAAAAAAGAGAGGAGAGAGAGAGGAGAGAAAGAGGAGAGAGAGGAGGAAAAAAAAGAGAGAGAAAGAGTGAGGGAGGGAGGGAAGGAGGGGGGAGGAAGAGAGAGAAGTACCTGCTACAGAGCACAGAGTCAGGCTGGGGTGGGGTGTCATGGGGGGAATCTGGGGATATGTACACTGGTAGAGGGATGGGTGTTGGAACATTGTATGACTGAAAACCAGTCAGGAACAACTTTGTAACTATGTATCTCATGGTGATTAAATAACAAGCAAACAAACAAAAAGAAACTATTTATGGATTGGGGGCCATTCTTGGCAATGCCCAAGGGGTTACTTCTGGCTCTGTTCAAGAGTGGTCAGGGGGACCTGGGAGTGGCCAGGGGAATCTAATTGGGATTGGCCACATGCAAGCACCTTAACCTCTGTAATAATACTCTCTGGTTCCAGGATGAAAACGTTATTAAAAATTATAATTGCTGGACTCTGCTCTTTCCTATAGCTTAATCACATTAAATCGAACATTCCCAAGAGGAAGTCATTTGCCTGGTTCATTTCTGTACCAGTGATTATTGACCACTTGATGGTTTTAAATGTTCATGACTATGCCCTTTGGAAAGCCAGTAAGTAAATTCTTTTATTTGTTTTCCTTTTTGGGTCACACCCAGCAATGCTCAGGGGTTACTCCTGGCTTTGCACTCAGGAATTACTCCTGGCAGTGCTCAGGGGACCATATGAGATGCCGGGGATTGATCCCGGGTAGGCCGTGTACAAGGCAAATGCCCTAGTCACTGTGCTATTGCTCCAGCCCCAAGTAAGTAAATTCTAATTCTTTTTTTTTTTTTTTTGCTTTTTGGCGATGCTCAGGGGTTAGTCCTGGTTCTGCACTCAGGAATTACTCCTGGTGGTGCTCGGGGGACCATATGGGATGTGGGGGATTGAACCCAGGTCAGCCGCATGCAAGGCAAACACCCTACCCACCGTATTATCACTCCAGCCCAAATTCTAATTCTTTAATGCCTTTAATACCTTTCTTCTGGTAGGGGTGGTTGCAGATTGGGTCACAGTTCAGGCTCCCTCCTGGCTCTGTACTTAAGGGTTGTTCCTGGTGTTGCTTGGGGAACTGTATGTGTTGCCGGGCATCCAACCCCAGCCTCTTGCATGGGAAGCGCATGCTCAGCCCTTTGTGATGCCTCTGCAGTTCCTCTTCCTCCTCTCTTCGGATGCAATTTTAGTTACTGTGATTCTGATAGAGCACCAGGAAAGAGGGAACTTGTTTTCTGCCAATGGCCATCTAGATATTTATGACATCATTTTTTTTTTTTTAATGTAGGAGCACTGCTATTTATTCAGCCACTGATTAGCTGATCGAATTGGGCATGAACTCCACCTTACTTTTTTTTTTCATTTTTTATAATTGTATTTATTGAATCACCGTGAGAGCAGTTACAAAGTTTTTGGGTTTAAGTCTTGGTCATACAATGAAACACCTGTACCTTCACCAGTGCCCATTCTCCACCTCCCAAAACCCCAATATACCCCCCTCTCACACCCTCTCCCTCCCTGTAGGGCATATGATTTCCACATTACTCTCTCTCTACTTTGATTACATTCAATATTTTGACACAGACCCACCATGATTATTTGGGATTTTACCCCAACACTCAGATCTGCTGAAAAGGCAACAGTAGACAATTTGTGTTCTATTGCTGGTTATGAAGAACATATGAGATGACATCATGTTTTGGGGCCATACAATGCAGGCCCTCAGATTGAGCACAGGTGATGAGCAGCATATGTGTTTGTCCCACCATGATCTTGTGGGTCTTATAAGGGCCTGTGGGTTAGATGATCTCTGATTCTGGAACAGACTAATGAAAAGTGAGAAAATAATTAAGACTTTGGGACATAGTGGTTGAAGAGATAGTACAGCAGGAAGGGGGGATTGCCTTGCATGTGGCCGACCCAGGTTCAATCTCAAATACCACATATAGTCCCCTGAGCTCTGCTGGGCGTGATCCCTAAGTACCTCCTGGTGTGTCCCCCAAAACAAACCAAAGCAAAATAAAAAAAAGAGTTTGGATGGTTGAGGATTAGGATCATCAACATAACATTTAATAAGATAAAAATTAATGTACATTTTGATTTAAAAAGCTGAAACACTGGATCGAAGATATAATACTGGGGTAAGTGCTTGCCTGGTATGTGGCTGACCTGGGTTAAATCCTCCGCAATACTCTGAACCCTGCCAAGAGCACAGAGCTAGGAGTCAGCCCTGAATACCACCAGGTGCCACCCAACATTTCCCTCAAAAAATAAATAAATCAAAAGAAAATGAAATGACAAGAATACAGAGGTGCATCAGCAGCCTTCAGGCTTTCTGACACCCCCAAATTGCTTCTGTGCCTCTGACTGGACCCCAACAACTTGGGAACAAGTTTCCTGAGAAATCAAACGACCAAAAAGTTAGGTATGTGGGAGCCATCCTCCAACGAACCACCTCCAGCTCAGCTACACAAGCTTACTTATCAGTCTGGCTACAGAGACCCATGAATAAATCTCGAAAGAGATCAAAAGCCGCAGTTAATCTCAGACCTGGATGTGAGGCTGGACAGACCAGGGTACATAGGAAGGGCGTGGGCAAGCCTGGTACCTGCCCAAGCAGAGCCCCCAGCGGTTGCTTACTTCCATAATCCCAAATCGCCCCCATCCCCTAGCCAGACTCCACCATCTCAGGATAGACCTCACCGAGATATAATCTGCTGAAAATTCGTGTTTGTGGGTTTTGTGACTGAAATCTCTAGGTTTTCTCGGGTTTGGGATGGGCTACCTCCTCCACATTCCTGTACTTCCAGAAGTGTCAGAGTCATGCCCACAGCCCAAAACTGCCACCAATTCCAAAAGCTACTTCAGCCTTACCCTCCCAATAAAACCACTGAATGCCCTGAACCAAGACCATGATCTTTTGGTACCTGTCTTGCAAGCCATAATGCACAAAAGGAGAGAGCAAGAAAGAAGAAACGTGTCTGTCAGAGAAGCAGGTGGAGGTAGGGGGGAGGGTTGGGGGAATGGTGGGAGGGAGTTGGGGGACATTGGTGGTGGGAAATGTACACTGGTGGAAGGATGGATTTTGGGTCATTATATAACTGAAACCCAATTATGAACAGCTTTGTAATGATCCACCTCCCAGATAGTCAATTAAAAGAAAAAAAGAATATAGAGGTCAGAGAGATGATTCAGCAGACTGCAATGTTCACTACTGGGTGTGACTCCCAAACCAAAAAAAAAAAAATAAAGTGATAATTACCCAGCAATTATTAAAATTGCAGTAGGAATTCATAAAAATTGGTTTCTTTTGTGCAAGCCTCCAGCATGCTTGGGTCTGGGGTGAGCCTGTGCTTTCCCACAGGGTTTGGGAGAACAAGATAAAACCATCTGAGGCCTTACCCTCCTCATTCAGAGCAAGGTTATAGAAATTTCAGACAATTGGAAAAAAAAATATGGGTTTCTTTTCAGAATGCTAAATTGACACAACAAAAATCAATGGAATTTAAAATGAGAATGCTGGAATGCTGAAAATGAGAACGGATGGGTCACTGACTCAGTGAATCATTAGTTTTCATGTGTTTGGGTTGGATGAGGATAGCCGTTGCTGTTCTGCAGCTTGTGTTGTGGCTACCATCGCAATTAAGAAATGGAAAATGTGTTCAAGGGATCCAACAGAGTCTGGTCTCATCAGCATCAGATCCAAGTAAGGAGAGCAAGACCAAGATGCAGCTGTCAGAGCAAGAAAGAAAGAGCAGCAGAAATAAAAAGGATGCTCAGAAGTGGTACAGTTTAGTTTGGGGAATACCCAGCCTCTCAGGAAGGCTGCAGTCAGAGACCCGGCCAGGGAGCAAAGACCACTGGGTTAGTTGGCTTCACAGGGGAGCCAGGAGATTTTGACATCCTCCTGGGCTATGGGCAAGGGGAAAGAGGGCTTTAGGAATGGAACTACTCTATCAAGTAAGACCTTATACATAGGAAAAGACACCATAATGTGTGACTCAGTCATTTTTTTCTATTAAGTGTTTATGTGCAGAGAAAGGAAGCAACTATGGCCAGGAACTGAAGTCTACCCTGTTATGGTCCCCAATGGATCCAAAACCCTGATCTCAAACCTGCATGCAGTCTTCCTTGCTACTTAAATGCATGTTAATATAATCACAGGGGATGTTGTAATTTTTATTTTTCTGTCTTGTTTAGGGAATTGTTTGTGTAGTTGTCCTTGTTGTTCTCTTTCTTTCTTTCTTTCTTTCTTTCTTTCTTTCTTTCTTTCTTTCTTTCTTTTTTTTTTGCTTTTTTGGGTCACACCTGGTGATGCACAGGGGTTACTCCTGGCTCTGCACTCAGGAGTTATTCCTGGCGGTGCTCAGGGGACCATATGGGATGCTGGGAATCGAACCATGGTTGGCCGCGTGCAAGGCAAATGCCCTACCCACTGTGCTATCTCTCCAGCCCCGTCCTTGTTGTTCTTATGAGATTGACTTTGTTGAGTCTCAGTGTTCTGTAGTACTTTCTTGTATGAAAAGACCTCTGTTCTGGGCTAATACTAAGAATGCTGCTGTGAACAGTCTTTTTTTTTTTTTTTTTTTGGAGAGGAGGTTGGGCCATACCTGGTGATACTCAAGACTTACTCCTGGCTCTGCACTCAGGAATTGCTCCTGTCAGGACCATATGAGGTGCTGGGGACTGAACTCAGGTCAACTGCATGCAAGCGAAATGCACCACCCACTGTACTATCTCTCTCTGGTCCTAGGTGTGTATTTAGCTCTTGTACATAGACATAGGAACTACTGGACACTGGGGACCAGCTTTGGGACAGTGTTTCATTATGTTTACATAGTGATTTTGGGGGCCTGGGGTGCGGCAGAGTTAGATATTTGCTCTGGGTGTGTGAGACCTTGGGTTTGATTTCCAGCGCTTCAAAACAGCAACAACAAACAATGCGGTTTTATGAGAGTCCTGTGGTTCTTCTCATCCTCGGCAGCTCTCGGTACGGCAGCTAGTTTTATTTGAGCATCGTGGCAGATGATCACGGTCTCTCGGAATGGCTTCAATCTGTGTTGTGACTAAAGGAGATGCCCATCTTTCGATTATTTGCATGCCTTTTTGGACAGTGTTTGTTTGAGTTTCCTACTCAGTTTTCCTACTCTCTTTTTTTCTTGCTGAGTTTAGAAATTCCAGATCTAGGACTTTAGTCAGTAGTAAGATGTGTTGAAACTATCTCTTTCCATGAAGAAATTTTATTGTTCACTTCAGCAATGCTTTTGATGCATAGATAATATTTCATCTTCCTGCAGTATGACCTATCATTTTGTTATATTTATGATTAGGATCTTATGTGTCTTGTTTCAGAAATCTCTGTGCAAAAGTTATAAAGTATTCTATTATGATTTATTTGGTTGAATTCCTGTTTTTTTTTCTTTTTGAGTCACACCCGGCAATGCACAGGGATTACTCCTGGCTCTGTGCTCAGGAATTACCCCTGGCGGTGCTCAAGGGACCATATGGGATGCTGGGAATTGAACCCGGGTCGGCCGCGTGCAAGGCAAACGCCCTACCTGCTGTGCTATTGCTCCAGCCCCAGAATTCCTGGTATTTTAACATTTCTATTTCGATTTGCAAACAATCTGGAACTGAGAATTGCACATTATATAAGATAAAGTTTTGAGATTCAAACTTTTCATATTGGTATCTCAACTGATCCAGCAGGAACTATTTCATAAGTTGCTGTGTGCTGCCTTGGTCACAAATTGCATATTTGATTAAGTACGCCAAGGTCCTTTAAAACATATATCTAAGATTTTAATTAGGATTGCATTAAATAGATCAATTTTTCAGGGTTTGATATTTTTTATAACATTGACTCTTTCAATTCATGAAAATCCCCCTCTCAACAATATTTTTCAATTTAAAGACTTTTGGTATAAAGTATATCACTAGAAGCTATTTTCCTAAATAGTTGATTCTTTTTAAATGTTATTTTCAAAGTCTTATTTTCTATTTGTTTGGTGCCATCTGACTGATTATTTTGTATGTTGGTTTTGTATCTTGAGACTTTGTTCTAAGAAGGAGCATTTGCTGTTTCTCTTCCTCCATGAGGCAAAACAATTTGTTTCTAAGATACTGCATAGTATGTTCAAAGTTGCCTTCAGAACTATTTATATTCTTCATGAGGTCGGAAACTCTGCAAATGCTCTTAGTTCAAGGGTGGTGACTGGTTACGTCATTTCACTGGGTTTCTGCCCTAAAGTGAATGTTTAAGCAAGATGGGAGATAGTATGTCCTGTGGTCATGTTTTCCCCCTCCTCCCTTTGTTTATAAAGAAGGGTAGCATTTCAACAAAGAACAAACATTACTTTTTGGTTTCTCAGTAATAACAACGCACCACTTCAAAGAGAACAAGTTGCCTTCACCCTTGTACTATCACATCTTTATTCATGACTACCAGAAAGAGACAATTGCAGAGAATTTCAGAGAGGGTCCCTGCAATACCCTTTGGACTGCTCTGAGAAGAGGGAGAGAGAGTGAGGAGGAGTTCCACAGCACAGCGTGGCCCACGGGAGGATCATTGTGATTATTATTATTTTTTCTTTCTTTCCCCTATTTTTTCTCCCCCCCTTTTTTCTATTTATTTATTTATTTATTTATTTATTTTTAATGGAATCACTGTGAGATACAGTTACAAGCTTTCATGTTTGAGTTTCAAGCAATGATCAAACACCCGTCCCTCCACCAGTGCACATCCCCCACCACCAATGTCCCCAGTATACCTCCCCCCTCCCGTTCCCACCCTTCCCCTGCCTCCATGGCAGACAATTTCCCCCATTCTCTCTCTTTACTTTTGGGAATTCTGGTTTGCAATACAGATACTGAGAGGTGCTCATGTTTGGTCCTTTTCTACTTTCAGCACACATCTCCCATCCCGAGCCATCCCTCCAACCATCATTGACTTGGTGATCCCTTCTCTATCCCAGCTGCCTTCTCCCCAGCTCATGAGGCAGCCTTCCAACTATGGAGCAATCTTCCTGGCCCTTGTGTCTACTGTCCTTGGGGATCTGTCTCATATCTTTCCCCCTTTTTTTTTAAATGGGCTGGAGCAACAGCACAGAGGGTAAGGCATTTGCCTTGCATGCGGCCGACATGACCCACCCAGGTTCGATTCCTCTGCCCCTCTCAGAGAGCCCGGCAAGCTACCAAGCATATCTCGCCCGCACGGCCAGGCCTGGCAAGCTCCCTGCCTGGGACTATTTGATATGCCAAAAAAAAAAAACAAAAACAAAAAACCAGTAACAACGTTACTGCTGCCTACTCAAGCACATTAATGAACAACGGGAGGACAGTGCTATATATTTAAATAGGGGCCACACCCAAAGTCTCTGGCTGCTGGTGCTTGGGGCCCCCCAGGGCTATCCCTGATGGTGCTGGGGGCTGAACACACGACCTCGCACTGGCCCGGATGTGTTTCTCCCAGACTCCTCTTCCATTTGTCCACCTGGTTGAGGGCTGAATCCTACTCACTTAGATGACTGCCCCTCCTGCCCCCCCCCCCCCCATGATCTAGAGCAGTATTACCCTCTGAGGGTCTCCAGGCTATTCCAAGGGATCCATGGATGAAAATCATCTAAATAGGGGTGGGGTGGGCGCCAGGGCATGAGTCTGGAGGTGCACAGTGGGAAGTGAAAAGTGGAGAAAACAGAGAAGCGGGGCCCATCCGTGTAAAGCGTTTGCCTTGCACATGGCTCACCTGGTTTGATCCTTGGTCCTGGGTATGGTTCCCCAAGCCCCAAACTCAGAACCAGGAGTAAACCCTGAGCGCCACTAGATGCGGCCCAAAAACAAGAAGGAAAAACAAACAAACAAACCAACCCAAAAGGCAAAGAAAAGAAAAGAAATAGTCTGGGGCTGGAGTGATAGTACAACTGGTAGGGCGTTTGTCTTGCATGCCGCTGACACGGGTTCGATTCCCAGCATCCCATATGGTCCCCTGAGCACCGCCAGGAGTAATTCCTGAGTGCATGAGCCAGGAGTAACCCCTGTGCATTGCCAGGTGTAACGCAAAAAGAAAAAAAAAGCAAAAGAAAGAAAAGGAAAGGAAAGAAAGAGTGGAGAAAAGTTTTGGGAAAACAGTAGTCTGGATAAACAGCGCAGGGCCCCACGGCAGCGGGACCGACCCCAGCGCCCACTGGCCTCGTCAGATGCAGCTGCTCCTGTCACTGGCCTCCTCCCACACGGCTGCCCCTGTTATCTGCGGGACACCTTGCATGGAGGTGATGTCTGGCCCCTGGACTCAAAGGAAGGAGGGTTCAGAGCTGAAGGCAACTGAGGCAGAAGGTGGGGCCATGGAGATTTGGCTCCACATCATCTTCCAGTAGCCCCAGGACGCTGCCCACGGCTCAGTGCTGGGGTGACCTTCTTACAGAGACTCCCGTCCAAATTTGGAGGT